TAGGGTCACCATGCAAGGCACAGGAAGGAGACTGAATTCGATTCTAGGTACAATGGAAATAACATGATCAGATTTGTGCTTTGCAAATTCCAGCCACTGAGTACAAAGTGGATTGCAGGAGAATAAGAGAGGACCCAGGAGAGCTATTCCCAAAAGCCAGACAAGAACAGATGATGGCTTGGACCAAGGTGGCAGTGGATAAGTAGAAGAGTAGATGGATTAGATTGGATTGGATTGCAGATGTGCCCTAAAGGCAAAACAAGCAGGACCTTCTGATGGGAGGCAGGGGTGAGGCTGAAAGAGGAGTCAAGGAGGTTAAACCAACTCTGTTTTTGGTCATCGTCTTCTTGGCCCTGCAATCGTGGGAGGGGTATTGGGACAGATGATGAGAATAAAACCCTAACCCTACTCAAAGCTGAAGGCTCAGAAATTTATCTGTCTTTCTTCTGTATCATTAGTCTCCTGACTCCCACACACACACCACCACCACCCCCGTCTCATTGGCCCTACTTTCTCAATCTTTGCTGGTTCTTCCTCTTCACTTTGACTCTGAAATGTTTGGAGTATTCCAAGCCTCAATCTTGAATTTCTTCTCCATCTACACTCACTCCCTAGGGAACCCATTCCTCTTCCTGACTTCAAAAATCATCCATGTGCTGAACACTCCCAAATTTCTATCTTCACACTAGACCTCACCCCAGAATTCCAGACACATACACTACCTACTCAATATCTGCACTTGAATATTTACTTAGTCAATGCAAACTTCACCTGTCTGAAACCCAACCCCTTCTCTTCCCCCACCTAAAATCAGCCTCTTCCAGAATCCTCCTCATCTCAGTAAATGGCATCTCCATCCTTCCAGTTGCACAGAGCAGGAAACTTGAGAGCCCCTAGACTCCTCTTTTTCTCTCACACCCCACATTCAAATCCATCAGCAAATGCTATCATCTGTACTTTCAAAGAAAATGTCCAAAATTCCAGTCTCACCACCTGAGCAGTGGTGCCTCCGGGGTTAAGTGCTTGGCTGCTATCAGGAAGGTTGGTGGTTTGAACCCACCAACAGCACCATGGGAGAAAGATGTGACAGTCTGCTTCCATAATGATGACAGCCTAGGAAACCCAATGGGGCAGTTCTGCTCTGTCCTGTAGGCTTGCTACAAGGTTTGGACAGCAATGCATTGGGTTTGGTTTTGGTTTCTCACCACCTCCAGCCCACTGTTATCTTTTGCCAAGATGATTGCAATAACTTCATAACTGGTTTCTCTTGCCCCTCTGCTGTCTATTGTCAACACAGCAGGCAGAATTCTCTTGTTAAAACATACATCAGATCTTCTCACTTTACTGCTCAAAACCCACCAATGGTTTGCTATCTCATTCAGGGTGAAAACTAAAGCCTTTTCAATGGCCCAAGTCATCTACCCTTCCCCACCACCCCTTCTGTGTCTCTGGCCTTACCTCAGCTTCTATCATTCCCCACACATCCCCATACCCTCCCTTCACTTTGCTCCAGCCCTACATGCCTCCTTCCTATTCCCCTAACACAATAACATGTTCCTGCCTCAGGGCCCATGCACTCACTATTCCCTCTCCATGGATTTCTCTCCCCCAGATTTCGAATACTTCGCTATTCCACCTCCTTCAGGTGACTGCACAAATGTTAAATTACCTGTGAGGCCTCTTTGACCACCTTACTTATAATAGCTACCACCCTTTAAGTCTTTACACTCATCCCCTTCTCTGCATTGTTCTGTATAATGGTTATCAATGTCTGATATTTTATACTGTTTGCTCTGCCCCCACTCCATGAAAATATGAGCTCCACAATGTAGAGATTTTTGTCTCTTGTTTCCTGCTCTGGCCTCAGTACCCAGAGCAGAACCTGGCACATTATAGGCACTCAGTAATTACTTACTAAATGAATGAATGAAATGAAGGAGAGACCTCCAGTCCTCCAGAGGCAGCCTGGGTCTGGGAGTCAAGATGTGACTTCTAGTGTTAGTTTTGACTTGTGTGTGACCCTAGGCTTCAGGTCCCTTGCAGCAGTTTAGAGGTGCCTGGAAGGTAGGGATGGAAAGAACCTGGTGGACTGGGAGAAGAAAACCCTCACTCCTTTCTAGTGAAGACCTGGGTGAAGTCTTTGCTGGCTTTGAAATGAAAGGCAAGGTTCGGCTTAGACTTAGGAGAGTTTGGGGAGGCATCCTTAGGGAATGAGTGAGGGGTCCACCCCACCTGCTGAGTGGAGACACTTCGAGGCCTGGAGACTAGTATAGCTCCTCCTCCTGGAGAGTCAGTCCCTTGAGGGTGTCATGGGGAGTGTTGTTGTGAGATGGCAGGAGAGGAGACATAAGGAGTCCGGAGGAGGCAAGAGCTGGGGAGAAGGGAGGCCTGGAGAGGGGCTTCTCTGTGGATCACCTGGAGCCACGCATGGGTCCTCAGAGAGGCTGGGTGGTCAAGCCTCCATGCAGACCTCATCATGTCCTTGGGGGCTTCACAGCCAGCACCCACTCCCAGACAGAGTGGCAGCCTTTCGGGAAAGGAAAGCCCTGTCCTCCTCTCTTTTCTGGGCCTTGCAACAGCTCCCTGCTTGTTTTCCCTGAAATAAATGAGCTGAGCATATTGGGCCGGCAATAACCCCTTGAAATCAGTTGTTATCACAGTTAACAACCAGTTTGGCTTCAGTTCAGGCTGTTAACTATCAAACCACTAAGTGCCGGTAATGATTGATTCTTGGCCAGTCGCAGCTTGAGTGGGCTGTAAAACCCCATTAGCCAGGGTTCTGTGGAGGTAGCAACTCAAAGATAAACAAGTTGGTGGGTGCCCTGGCTCAGCCTAGCCCCACTGCTTCTGGACTCAGCACCCATGGGTCCCATGCCTGGCATCCTGCTGGGTGTTAACCCCTTCCCCAAACCTCAGGCAGCCTCAAGAACTAGCTTCCTCCCTTCCTGTCCACGTCTATCCCCCACTATTCATCTCTCTCCTCTTTGTAAGGTCAGTCTGCTCTCTGGGCAGCCCACCTCTTCTCCCGGTGACAAACATGGCACAATACCACCTCTTCCCCAGGGGTACTCAGGCATCCCCAGTCTGTGGGCTTGAGGATTAGTTTTGGCCTAAACAGTAACCAACCTTGGACCAGCCTGGCCCAGACTTGTGGCCAGGATCTTAGGCGGAGGACCTGACATTCCACTCCCCCCACCCCAGACTCCCTCCCACACTGTGGCTTCCCCCAGGAATTGCTCTCAAACAAATGAAATGTGGGTAATTACGGGGCTGGGGGCTGGACACGCGGGCCGTGCAGATGAAAGCATTTCCTGGACGGTCTCTTCATTTGCATGGCATCAGAAGCTGCTCAGAAGGTGTGACTTTTCCCACAGTGAGACCCCAGCTCCTTGCACAATAAAGCCAGGCTGCTCACCCAGAATTAATTAAAGGGGGAGGGGAGGGGAGGGGTTGGAGCAGAGAAGGAGGTGCTAAGAGCTGGGGGAGCTGGAAAAGAACTATCTAGAACCCCCTCCCCATGTCCCCAGTGTCCATGTACCAGGAGAAACCCACTCTATCCAGAGTCCCTCGCCGCCCCCCCCATGGAGGCCAAGAGAGATGAGGTGAGCAGATGAAGCGTATCCCCAACTTCTCAACTCTAAGGTTCTTCATGGAGCCCTGGATTCACCCAGAATGGGAGCCTCAGGAATGAAGATGGGGCCAGATCTGCCCTCAGAAGACCTACTTCCTTTGGGCCAGGAGTCTGCCCTCTGTAGTGTTCAACCTCACTGTTCCACACACATACAATGGCCCTTGCCCACCATGACCGGCTCTGTTCCTACCCCAGCTGACCCTCTTCCTTATTCCTTAGAAGTTCTCCCCTCACAGGCTGGTCCTGCCAACATAGGACTACCTGCTTCTCCCTTCATCCATGGCTGGCTTGAGGGTGTTGATATATTCTCTACTATATACCATTTGCCCGCACTCCTTCCCCCACTAGAATGGGAGCCCAGCGTCCCTGCCTTTCCCATCTCATGTTGAACTCCCCGCCTGACATGCCTGTCTCTCCAGAGGCGGACATCATCCTTTCTGGGCAGTAGCTCCTTGGGCTTGTTTCCAACACCTGAGCTTAGCATCTTCTCCTAACAGCTTCTCTACTCAGACCTCCCAAAGCCCTTCTTTGTCCTGTGTCACAATTTGTCAACACTTTTGCCCCCACTTTGGACCTGGGTGGCAGCTCTCATTCATTTTCTGGGCCTGATACTCAGAAAGAAGCAGCTCTAGCATCTCCAACCTGTCCTTACCCAGACCTCAGTAGGTACACTGAGAGACACTTGTTTTAAAGACTTGCTGAAGCCATGATTACAAAGCCCTAAAAGGTTCATCATTTCTGGCCCTGAGGTGGCCAGGGAAGTATGAGCAATGACTCTCACTAAGAGAGAGGAGAGGAGACCCATGTCTGAGAGCTCCCAGGCCCAGCTAAGAGTCTTCTAGGCCCTCCCTGCCTCTGTCCTCCCAGGACAACCCCTCCAGTGATGATGATGGGGATGGCTGGCAGGTGTGGGTCATCCAGTCAGGCTGGAGGAAGGCTCCAAGGGCCAGATTTGCTGCATCTCCCAGCTGTCTGCCTGCTGGGGAGGGGTGGGGGAGGGGAGTGACCCCAGTAAGACTTTCTCTCCAGCACACATTTTTAATAAATATTTCAATCAGCAACTAGTATATTAGCAACTGGTGTATGTGACGTCCCTCCACTGACACCTACCCCTAAAAGAACTGATCTAAATCTTAACCCTTTCCTCCCTGGCCCCACCTGGGGGTTCAGTGGAGTCCCTGTCTGCCTGGCCAGATCACCTGTGGGTTCTGGGAACACAGGTGTACTTCCTCTGCTAGTCTAGAACAAGTCTCCCCTACCCACCCACCCCCAAAGAATGCCCTGCCGGAATCGAGGCCACCAACAGACCTTCCTAAGAGTGAAGAAGACAGACAACACCATAGCCAAGTGGAATACAAAAATAGAGCCTCTCTTTTGTTTAAAAAAAAAAAAAAAAAACAGCAAACAATTATCAACAACTAGAACCCGGGGTTCCCCCAGCTCCTCCCCAGCTTCAGCAGCACAGATCTCAGCTGGGAGTTTCTCTTATTTTGCTCCCATCAAGGCGAAAATCTCTGTTGTCTGGAGTTGCAAGGAGGGGCCGGGCAGGTGCCTATCGGGGCTCCGGGGCCCAAGTCCTCTGGCTGCCACGCAGGCTGCGCGTGAAGGGCGGGTAGTTGAGGAACTCGAAGCGCAGGCTCTGCTCGGTGGTGTGGTGGCCGCGGGGCAGCCGCTTCATGAAGTGGACCTCGCGCTGGTGCTGCCGGGTCTTGGAGCCCTTGCGGGGCCGGCCCTTGCGCGTGAAGGCCATGTACCAGCCCTCGTACTTGGCATTCTGCAGGGCCGTGTAGTTGTTCTCCAGCACAATCTCCGTGAAGACACAATCCTTGCCTTTGCCGTTGCTCTGCAGGTAGGGGGGCCAGACACAGAGTTACTGGCCTCTGTGGGGAACCCCCCCCCAATCAGAGGCAGAGGGCAAGCGGCCCCAGACAGCAGGTGGGCACCCCAGCAGATGGTGAGGTGGGCACCCGCTCTCTAATCCCTCATAACCCGCAGCCCACCCGGCAACTTCCTGTCCTCCCTGGCAGCAGTGACACATGGTTGTCTATGGAGGGGCTGGGCCCCAACACGGAGAGGCAGAGAGAGGGGCCCAGACCCTGCCTGTTCTGGCCTCCTGCCCACCAGAGCTGGCCAGAGCTGTGAGGGCCGTTTCCCCACCTGCCCCCCTGAGCCCTTCAGGATTCCGGCTCCCTGGCCCCAGGGCAGCCACCCTATGGGGGAGGGGAGGCCTGTAGGGAGGCTCTGAGCCCCAAGCCCCAGAAGCCCAGGCAGAGGGGAGCTTGAGGCTGGAGAGGAGCCGTGACTAATGGGGCCATTTCAGAGCTAGGCTGAGGGGCTGGGCCTACGGCTTACTGAACATTCCAAATGCTGGTACCATGTAATTGGACATAATAGCAAAGCAATTTGGCGATTTGTTAAAAAGATATATGGAATTTACCAAACTCCCCCCAGCCCCAGCCCCTTTCCTAGCCTTCCTTCTTCCTCCTCAGCCTTTATAGCTTTTCAGTCTCTCAAGTGGTTTCTTTCTCCCTCACCTGCCCCGCCCCCACCCCAATCATCAGGTCACTCAAGGTGTCTCTGTCTCTCTGCCCACCATGTTGAGATGGGAGGCACAAGACTGTCCCGGAGGAACTCCACCAGCTTGGCCTGTTCCCCAGGCCCCAGGGCCTTCCCAAGGCCCCAGGACCCCACCTTCCTTCTGGGTCTCACCTTGGCGATCAGCTTCCCCTTCTTGTTCATGCAGATGTAGAGGCCCGTCTCAGCACCTCGCACTCGAACTCGACTCCCAAAAGTATCTGTCTCCACGATGAGCTTTGCTGTTGGGGAAGGTAGGAAGGCTGGTTATTGAAAGGGCCTTGACCCCTACCATTTCATTACCTCACCCCCAGCTAACGCACAGACTTGTCACATCCCAGCAGCCACTGCTTCAAGGGCCAGATACTCAAGAGGTGGGCTCTAGCCCCAGCCCAGCCACCAATGGGCTGTGCAGCCCTGAGAAAGTCAAACCACTTTTCTGGGCCTTGGACTCCAGACCTGGGTTTACAGAAGGGATTGGATGAGATCATGGCTGGGTTCTGCAGAGGGGTCTTGCGGCCATCCAGTCAAAAAGGCTGATTCCTCTCGCCCTCTTTTTAAACCAGACAGTGCTGATTTATACGTCAAGGCTGCAAGTAAAATTGTGTTTGGCCAACATTCCACTGCTCATCAAAAGATCTCTGAGCTTCCTTCCAACTCAAAATATTACGTGCACATGCCTCACAGATCCTGACAAACATCCCAGGTGCAGCAGTGGCCTCCAGTCCTGAAGCCAAATGTAACAGCACTCTCTCCTGTTTCTGCCACTTCAGGTGCTAATTCAGCCTTGGCCATCCCCTGCCCTGCCGTAGCCTGTCTGCTGAAGTGGGAATGAGGATAGAGACGGTGCTCCCTACACATATGGCCCAAAGCCAAGCTGCAGACAGCAGCTGGAAGGACCCCGTTCCTTCCCCACTGCCTCCCGGTTTCTACAGTCCCCAGCTGTAGTGCTGGAAATCAACAACTCAATAGTCTTTTCTCCATCAACTCCCATCACAACTAGATTTCTCACCCCAGATACCAAATACTTTCTATGGGTGAGGAACAGAGAAAATGGGGTATGCTTGCCTCTCATTCTAAAGAACCAGTAGATGGGGGCTGAATTCTACACCTTCCTGCCCACTCCGTTTAGGCTACCAACTGGCCACAGAACCCCCAGTCCCCCCATCCACCTCTCTGCATACTCCTCCCTCTGACAATGTCCCCAAGAAGGGAGGTGGCAAAGTTATCAGTCTGGGATGGGGCAGAAGGGGATGGGTCCTCTGCCCTCCCCACAATGAGCCCAGCTCCTTCCCTCCTTGAGACAGCCTGCACTCGACACAATGGCACCTTCCCTGACCCTGAAACGAATCAGAGGGGAGAGGTGGCACCAAGGCCAGCAAGGCAGCCTCACTGCCCAGCCTGAGACTGCCACCCATCACTCCCACAGGCACTGCTCTGGGACCCAGTGGCCAAGTCTCCAGTCTGGCTCCAAGTCAGTCCGGGAAATGCAGCTGTCATTTCCCCTCCCACCCACCTTCTCTTGGGCCCAGCCAGGCTGCTCACCCCTCGCCCAGTCTGCCTCCCAGAGCAGAGAGCAGCTGCTTCTAAGGACCAGGGATGGACACTGATAGAGACAGAGTAAGAGGACCTCACTGAGGATTCCGGCCCCATAGGACAGCGAGGGGTGGAGTAGGTCCCTCTCTTCCTTCCTGGACCTGTGAAGAAGCAACAGGCATCTCTCTGCCTTTCTCCCCGAGCCTCCTCTTGTCCTGACACTACATCTCAAGCCTCAGCTCCGACTCTTGGAGCCTCCAGGTCTACTCCTGCCCTACAAGCAGGGACTAGGGAACCTACGAAGTCTCTTATACATCTAAGGAAAGAAAGAGACATCCAGACTCTGAGCTCTGAGGACCGACTCCCCTGTAGCCTCTTAGCCTCTCCTGCCCTCCATGAACTCCAAGGATGCTGGGCCATTTGCCCCACTGGAGCAAAGCCGGGAGAAGCCAGGCCTTCGCTCCCTTTCCTAGGAAGCTGAGAAGGGCTGCAAGCAGCCAGTTTGGAGGGACAAAGGGATGGGAGGCCGGCCCTGCCAGCCCAGCAGGGGAGCTGGGCCACCGAGCAGGCTGCCTCCACCCCCACCCCCACCCAGAGAGCCCCCACTCTCCTTCCCGGATGGATCTGGGGAGCTGGGGCTGCAGTTTACAGTGGCTTTCCCCGACCGGGCTTTTGGAAAGCTTAACATTTTCAAACCTATTCTTCCACCCCAGTGACAGATTTATCCCAGGAAAATTATGTCTCCTTCTCCAGCTTTGAAGGCAAGTCAGCTACGTCCATGCAGAAAAAAATGCAGCGAGACATACTCGATCCCCCAAACTGGCTCGAGAAGAGGAGAAAGTATTCAGGAAATGTTAAAAAAGGTGAAAGTAAGAAGAGTTTTAATCGCTCTGCCAGACGCAGGGGTCTCTCCAGAGATTCATGGAGAACAATCTTGAACCTCTTTTTTAACATTTACAGACTTGCAACTCCTTTCAAACTCCACATCTGAAAAAAGGCTTGTTCTTTTTCTGTTTTATATCATTCTTCATTTTTCTTCCTAGCTCTTAAAATGCCTCACCTTTTTATTACATTTTAATAGAGTCTTCCTCTCTCCTTTCATGCTTGTTTAACTTGGTCATTATTTAAAAGGTTTTTAAACTCACAATAATCGCTCTCTAAAAACAACCCCCGCCGCCCAGAGGGCTTGCTTTTCTCTTGGTACATCCAGGACTCTGGAATTGGCCCCATTTCAAGGCAGGAATATTGAATGTTTTGGAAATCAATCAGCCCTCAGCCTCTCCACCCGCAGTAGCTCCCTGAACTCACCACCCCACAGGGAGCCGCCGGCCCTGCCCCAGTCGTCGGGGGTCCAGAGTCAATGGGAGGGACCCTTCCTGAGCCCAGTCCCCAGGTGCAACTGGCCCTTCTCATCCAAATTATTAAAGGCTCCTTTTCCAAGCTGGGAACATTGGAGGAGTTCTCTCTTCCTGTCACCACTCGCCTTTTGTGGGCCCTGGCCATGTATCCTCTTTCAAGAGCCTCCCTTAAATGTAGACCCCTGCTTCCCCCTGAACCCCCTGCCTCCACCTGCAGGGCTGCATGATGGTAGGGGGGTTGTGAAGGGAGATTCCTGGATTCGTTCGGCAGGGCAGGGAAAGGGGCATCTGTGGGCCAAGCACTCCTGGAGGCCCCTTCCTCAGCCCTCTCTTCTCCAGCCAACCCTTAAAACACCTTTTTTTTTTTGCCTTAACTCCTTCCCTTCTGAGCTGGGGAGCCTGCAGGCCTCTGGCCAGCGCAGATGGGGCCAGGCCGGCCGGTCACAGCCTGCCAGCCGGATCCTGTTGCACTAGTTCCCTGAGCAGCACGCACGCAGCGGCGCAGGCCGCCTTACCGAAGGGGTCGCCGTCCTCTGCCATGGCGTTGATGCGCTTGTTGGCCAGGACCTGCACGTGCTTCCCGCTGGTGCGGCTGTAGAGCTGGTAGGTCCGGATGAGGCGGCGGCTGAGCTGATCCGTCACCAGGCTCTGCTCCCTCACATGCTGTGTAAAATTAGGTGAGGACTGAACAGTTACCTTTAGGAAATTGAAAAATACACAACACGCCATTATAATGCTACTCCGCCCAGGGGCCCGAGTGGCCCCCATCGCCCTGCCCTGCGCACCCCCTCCACTGACTGGCAGCCGGCAGAGTCTGGGCCCTCCACACACCGGCTCAGGCCACCGCCTCCCGCCTAAGCCGGCCAGACCCAGGCCGGGATGAGGAGCCCGGAAAGGAGAAGGGTCTGCACCCACCTGTTGGAAAACATCCCAACTCCCTGCCAGCTCGAAACAGGGGAGCAAGACCCCTGTTTCACTTGGGACAGGACGCTAGGCGCCCTATGACATTTATAGAGACAAATTTACGCAGCAAATGTGGAGAGTCCAGAGGGCCAGAGCGCCCGATTGCTTGGCCGGGTGGGCCAAATGTCCCCAGAGATCCCCCCGCGAGACACCCTGCGGCAATCACCCGGACTTCTCTGCCAATTTAGCAGCTCGGGCCGGCCGTCTTTCCTCAGCGGCCAGGTGTGGCTGTCCGCAGAGTCCCCGTGCACCCTGACCTGTAAGGTGCGTGCAAGGCGGCACTCGACCCGGAGACCTTGCCTTACACCCTCGCCGCTCACTTGCTGTGTGACCTGAGACGGGGCGCTAACTCCCTCTCTGTTCCTCAGCTCCCTCCGCGGGGTAGCTGGGGGCTGGCTTCCTAAGGTGGCTCTAGCCCTGCCGCCCTGGCCGCAGGGTGTGTCCTCGCGTCCCTGCCCGCCTTGGCCAACCCGCGGCCCCGTCGGCCCGCCCGGCCCCCGCCTCCGCGCCGCGCTCCTTACCTGGGCTTGGAGGCAGAGAACCAGCAAGTGCAACAGCCTGCGGGAGACAAAAGCGGGCGGGAGAGAGGGGCGCGGGGTGAGGGACCGGGGCGCGGGGGCGCGGGCCGCGCGGGGACCGGGGCGCGGGGAC